CTGCAACATCCTACTGTACCCTCGAAGGCAGCTCATCATCATCTTGTTCGTGCAGTGAACCACAGCTACATCAGGACAAGAAATTTTGACTGGAGGGGAAAATAATCAAGTTCGGCAAAGCAGCCACAAAAAGTCAGTGATGTTTAAGGAGGTGCGACAGTTGTCTTACAAACAAATAACTCAACCTCTCTTTATCAGTCGTTAAAGGGTGTCCCACTAATGGGTCAAAAGGAATGCTTCAAAAGATGGGTTGAGTATTTCTAGCAACTGCTCTCCATGTGACACTTATGTCAACATTAGAGGTTAGTAGAGATTTGCTCACAAAACTAGAAATGCAAACCGGCGGTTTGCTGCATTTGAAAATGAGGAAAGCCTTCATATGTGATTGAATCGATTGAATTGAATTCCTCGTAAATTAATTATACAGGGAGGAAAGAGAATGATAGAAAGTTCCATGCTCTGTTTCATAAAATGTGGACATGTTAACGAATCGCAGGAGAATTTAAGTGTACAGTTATTGTTCTTGTATTTACTCCGTGATATCACCCTATTGTCAACTCTTGAGAAACTTTTTACCTAGATTATCCTATAAAGGTTGAGGCTGACGATTGATGGATACCTCGTCCAAATCAAGCCGGCTTCCAAATGAGCACTCCCATCCGGACTAAATCTGGACCAATTATGCATGGGATCGCTGGGCAATGTTCACGATTCGAATTGCTTTGGCTTACCGGTTTCCTCTACTTTAAGGCTGCATTTGATTCACTACATCGTCTGACGATGTGGAAAATCTTGAACTGCTACGGGATACCTGAGCACATAGTTTAAATTTTGGAAAAGATGTATGTAGCAGCCATGTCTGTTGTCATAATTGAAGGGGAATTAGAGCCATCTGAATAGTTCCTTACTAACTGTGGATTACGCCAGAGAGAACTACTCTACCTTGTGCAATGGAAGCTGCATATTCAAACGATGAAATACTTGCTTGAAGCCAGTACCGCATCTTTATCGCAGGTGCCTGTACTCCCATTAGACTCAGTTCTTCTGCAACAGGCGTAGTCTCTCAAGTGTGTTTAAACTTTGCACGTTCCACGTGGTCAACTCTGTTCGACAGTTAGCACTCAAAAATATTATTGTTCTGTCTGCAATTCTTCAAGATTTACAGATCCATGCTCATAATCAATTTTGTCATATGGCTGGAGGAAATGTCTTGCAATTTTACAGGTCAGTGTCAAGATTTCTCAAACAGTTAATGGCCGCTGAGGTAGCAATCTCGTAACCAATGAGATTTGCGATTATATTGTAAATACAATTCGATTCAAGTGACAAATTCTGTTTGATTTCAGTAATCAGATATGCGTTAAACCGTTCATTGGCTCAAAACAGCTTCTCCCTGATTGCGTTAGCATGCCTGTTACAGGGTTCATGATAGATTTTCTCAGCGCCTCGAAAGATTGTATTGCACCCTGTCTTGCCCTGCCAAATATTCCCTTAGTTTTGACATTATCCGGTACTCACAATTCCAATGGATAGTCAAA